TTTTCCATGCAATATCAGCTAAATATTGAAATGCTTCATGCCTTTCAATTAGATCAGGACGAATGCTCTCTGTCGCCGAAACCGTGTAACTTCTTGTGCAAGAACACTGAAGGCAGTTACCTGTGCTCATGTCCCAGAGGATACATCCTACAGCCTGATGGGAAGACCTGCAAAGGTTAGTTTATAATTCATGGGTACCATTAGTCGGGATAACATCAGCTACTAACATCACTAGTAATAATCCATCCCAACGTCAAAACGTGCTAATATCAAATACAGTCAAAACTAAAATTATTCCGACACCAGATATTTTTTTTACTAGTGGGTGCAGGACACTATAGTTCATTTATGGAAGTGAGGAGAGCAAAATAAAGTAAAGAGTAAAGTCTTCATATAGTGAACACCAGTAATTTTTTTTTTTTTTTTTTTTTTTTTTTTTTAAAAGGAATAAAATTGTGGAATGATTTACCGCTTTAACTCAAAAATGTAAATACTAGAGGGGCTTTTAGATATCAAGTTAAGGCTTATTTATGGATTAGAGTTGCTAATCTTCTTAATTAGAGTTGCCTGATTATTCTTGTGTCTTATGTTTTTAGAATGTTTTTACTTTGGATGATTTGTGCTCAGTGTTTTATTTTTTGTCTTGTAATAGTTACATGTTTGTATGTCTTTTTTTTAACATCAAGGACCATGTTGGAAATAAGTGTTTACACTTTATCATGTTATCCTTTGGATTATGGTTGTCTGTCCAATCCATAATAAATCAAATCAAACATACAAATTTGGGACCAAAATCTATTCAAATTTAGCCTTTTTACACCACAGACTGAACGACTTGAAACATTGCTTGGTAACTTGTCGACCTAAATTGGTATTATTCAACATAATTCATCTGGGAGAGTCTAGATGAACTCATATTTTAATACCATTTTCTAAAATATAGTGAATAAATTTTGATAATGTGAGAAATGTTGAATGTACTTATTTTGTCCCAGATTTGGACGAGTGCTCAACCAAGCAACACAACTGTCAGTTCCTATGCGTCAACACGATCGGTGGTTTCACCTGTAAATGCCCCACGGGCTTCACGCAGCACCAGACGGCTTGCATAGGTGAGTGATATGAACTCAAACCGCCCCGCTAGCATGCCTAGCCCAGAGCCTAAATAATTGAGCAGGTCATTTGGAGCTAAAATTGCCCCCATGCTTCATCCCTTAGACAACAACGAATGCGGCAATCAGCCGAACGTGTGCGGTTCCCGCGCCTCCTGCCTGAACACTCCCGGCAGCTTCAACTGCGAGTGTCAGAAAGGCTTCTCACTGGACGACACTGGACACAACTGTGATGGTTAGTTTCCCCATTTTGGGCTCAGGTTGAATATTTTTGCACTTAAAGGAGTAGTTCACTTTTGAAAAAAACTTTTGCTGATAATTTACGGTGAGTATCTTCGTCGCCCGTGAACGTAATTACGTATTACGTGACGTTACAAACGCGCCTCACAGAATAGAGCAAGGCTAGCATTTGTCCTTAGAAAAGTTACATTTTTGGAATAAGTTTTGAAATAACCGATCGTTTCGCATGATAAGACCCTTATTGGTGTCGTTTAAAGACATTTGAAGCTGCATCTGAAACTGTCTTTTGGACCTTGGACCGTCTGGTTCCCATGTAAGTCCATTATATGGAGAAAAATCCTGGAATGTTTTCATCAAAAACCTTAATTTCTTTTCGACTGAGGAAAGAAAGACATGGACATCTTGGATGACGTGGGGGCGAGTAAATTATCAGCAAAAGTTTTTTCAAAAGTGAACTACTCCTTTAAGGTATTGGCACCAATCTTGCTAAGGGCCCAATGTTTATTCATGAAATTGGCCCTAGAACCACCCCGCACATGCCAACCTGAGATCAGTTTATGCCAGTTTGGTTTGTTTCTTACAGACGTGGATGAATGTGGCGGAAACCACCGGTGCCAACACGGTTGCCAGAACATGCTGGGAGGTTATCGCTGCGGCTGCCCGCAGGGTTATGTTCAACACTACCAATGGAACCAGTGTGTGGGTAAGTCCTTCTGCATGGATGACGCAACATTTTTTCATTGCGGATTGCTAATTTCTGGCTCCCTTCAAACCAGATGAGAACGAATGCGCCGGGAACCAACTCTGTGGGTCGGCGTCTTGCTACAACACTCTGGGCAGCTATAAGTGCGTGTGCCCGTCAGGTTTCGACTTTGAGTCTTCTGCCGGCGGCTGCCAGGATGTTAATGAATGTGCCCAGGGCAATAACCCTTGCAGCTATGGCTGCTCCAACACAGACGGCGGATACTTGTGCGGATGTCCTGGGGGCTTCTACCGAGCAGGACAAGGGTGAGTATTTGGGCACGTCTAAAGACTGTTCTCTGGATTATCAGAGTTCATTACGCCAATCCTGCTCCCGGAGAGATGCTTTTATGCCGAGTTTCAGTCCAACCTTCACCAGCACACGTGTCCGGACGTTTCGATCAACCCTACCTTCAGGAGCTAAAGTCTGTAGGAAGGTTCTTACTTAAAAAACCTCTGGATTACCAGAGTACGCCTTTATTTACTTGTATTTGACATCGCTTTTATTTGTATTTGTATTTGTTTGTATTTGTATTTATGCAGAGGTTCAGTCCAAACTTCTACGGCAAACATGCCTGGATGTTTCTATCAACCCTACCTTCAGGAGCTAAAGTCTGTAGGAAGGTTCTTACTTAAAAAAAGCAATTTACCTCTGGATTACCAGAGTACGCCTTAGTGCCAGGAGTGTCCAATACTGCATCGCTTTTATGGAGAGGTTCAGTCCAAACTTCTACGGCAAACATGCCTGGATGTTTCTAGTAACTCTAAAGACCTTCATTAGCTAGTTCAGGAGCTAAAGTCTGTAGGGAGGTGGTCTTTAAGTGTACTTCATGCCAGAAGAGTCCAATCCTGCTCCTGGAGGGCCACTTTTATGGAAAGTTTCAGTCCAACCTTCTCCAGCACACATGCCTCTGTTTCTAGTAACCCTAAAGACCTTCCTTAGCTAGTTCGGGAGCTAAAGTCTGTAGGGAGGTGGTCTTTAAGTGTACTTCATGCCAGAAGTGTCCAATCCTGCTCCTGGAGGGCCACTTTTATGGAAAGTTTCAGTCCAACCTTCTCCAGCAAACATGCCTCGATGTTTCTAGTAACCCTTAAAGACCTTCCTTAGCTAGTCCAGGAGCTAAAGTCTGTAGGAAGGTGGTCTTTAAGTTTCCTTAGTTTAATGCCAGAAGAGTCCAATCCTGCTCCTGGGGAGCCACTTTAATGGAAAGTTTCAGTCCAACCTTCTCCAGCAAACATGCCTGGATGTTTCTAGTAACCCTAAAGACCTTCCTTAGCTAGTTTGGGAGCTAAAGTCTGTAGGAAGGTGGTCTTTAAGTTTACTTAGTTTAATGCCAGAAGAGTCCAATCCTGCTCCTGGGGAGCCACTTTAATGGAAAGTTTCGGTCCAACCTTCTCCAGCACACATGCCTCGATGTTTCTAGTAACCCTTAAAGACCTTCCTTAGCTAGTTCAGGAGCTAAAGTCTGTAGGAAGGTGGTCTTTAAGTTTGCTTAGTTTAATGTCAGAAGTGCCCAATCCTGCTCCTGGGGGGCCACTTTTATGGAAAGTTTCAGTCCAACCTTCTCCAGCACACATGCCTCTGTTTCTAGTAACCCTAAATACCTTCCTTAGCTAGTTCGGTAACTAAAGTCTGTAGGAAGGTGGGCAGGAATGGACACTCAAATAGTTTAACATATTCTATATAGCCAAGTATGTTGACACCTAAACTTTCTTGAGCCTTCAGAAACATTGGCAGCTTCCACTTTTCTCAACATCAGTGTTGTCTGGTATTGATCTTTGTAAGGGATTGGTTTGCAATCGACGTCCCAAATCATTCCAAAAGTGTTAAAGAAGGTTCAGGTCCCGCCTCGGAGTAGGCCAGTCCAGACCTGTTAATAAGAAGGGGATGTCTACATACAATTACAATGCAGTATAGATCAATTTCAAAGTCAGTCTTTAGCCATTGTCCAAGTTTGGTGATGCACAGATTGTCGAGCAGTAGTCTATTGTGGAGTCTGCACCAGCATGGGTGCAAGCACCCTTCTGGACCATACAATGGGATAATCTATGATCTTGTGGTCTCCATAGAGCTATGCAGGGAAAGACAGCATATTAAGGGCAAGGAATAAACCAGGGGTGTCAAATCCTGCTCATGGAGAGCCACTGTCCTGAAGAGTTTAGCCCTAATTAAAAACCTGAGCCAAGGTAACAAAGGTCTTCAGGATAACTACAAAATTCCCAAAAAAGTATGTTGGGACAAGTTGTAGCTAAACTCTAGACCTCTTGGACCAGGATTGGAAATCACTGGCTTAAACTACACTTGCTTTAATATTCAATGAATCACCTTTTCCTTTTCTAGGCACTGCATCACAGGAGTGGGCTTCCAGGGTCAGTTCGGCTCGGAGGGAGCGGATGACGAAGACTCGCTCTCACCAGAGGCCTGCTATGAATGCAAGATCAATGGTGACCTGGGAAAGAAAGGCCGTCATAGGCGCAATGCTGGTGATAATGAGCTCAAGGTACTTTTGAGGCTGTGGATGTGTTGGCCAGATACACTCTGCTATCATTGACCTTACCTCTAACTAGGGTTGGGTATCGTTTGAATTTGAACGATTCTTATTCCGATTCTGATTCCTTGTTTCGATTCTGGTTCCTAACGATTCTCGATTCCGATTCTTTTAAGAGGCAGGGTCAAAAAAGTTTAGCTAACCTTGCTAACCAACGGCCTTTCTGAAGGAAATAATCCTTTCTGAAGGAAATACTCCTTCTGTCACAAATACTCCTTTTGTCACAAATTTTGCATTTTGCCGAGATTTCGTTATTTTTAGAAAAGTGAAGCCACACTTTGGACCGCCGACGTAAGCTACTCATGTTCGACTCGCGCGGTTATGCCAACACTTCCGATAGACGCTTCTTCGTTGGTGTTGTTCAGCGGTTTCTTCTTCCGCTCGGCGGACTGTGAATATCGAAACTAGGAATCGAAATTTTAACTTTTGAACGATTCCGGGAAAAACGAAAAGTTAGTCCCGATTCCAATCGATACTCGATTCTCGATACCCAACCCTACCTCTAACCCTAAATTAAAAGTCCATCAAGAGTTTCAACCAGTTCTTTTCCGCCCTCAGGAGACGGTGAGCATGGCCAGCATGGATGTTCAGACCTCCATCCCCATGAACCTGAGTCTGGCGCAGCTACAAAACAAGGAACCCCTTCTTGAGTTGCTTCCAGCCCTGGAGCCGCTTGAGCACCATGTGCGCTACGTTATAACGCACGGAAACCAGGGCGAACACTTCCGCATCCTGGAGCGCCGCGATGGGAAGAGCGTTCTGCGGCTGGGCCGGAAACCACCCACTCCAGGTTTGTACCGCCTGGAGATCGCCAGCTTGCGCCTGTTTGGTCCGCGCAAACTTCAGGACCTGGAGGACCAGCATGACAGCGACTACTTGCTGGGCGAGATCGGTGATGCACTGCGCGTCAAGCTGCACATCCACCTGCACTGAGACTGACCCTTGACCCCGTGCCCTTCACTGCAGGGCGTAAGCTCTGAGAAACTGTGTCCATTTACCCCCACATTTTGGATTCGTTTTTATTCGCCATCCCTTCACGTCAACGCCCACTGATTCTACCAAGTTTGGTGGAAAATGTACACACAAACCATCTTAAATTAGCCGGAGTGCGTTAGCACTAGTATTAGCGCCCACTTTTACAAGAAATTTCAGTCTTTAGTGCACATAAAACATTGCATTATAGATGATGACTTTTCACTCATCTCATTATCTCAATGCAAACTGGGGTCAAAGTTTATTCCATTCAGTATTTAGAGTCAAGTATTGTACTGTTAACGATGAAAAAAGAGGTCACACAAAGGACTGCAGCAACTACGGCTATTTTTCAGGTTGAAATGAGAGTTGAGCGTTCAAACAACTCGAAAATGAAACACGTACTTTTAGGTTTCTGGGATTTTCTGGAGTGTTTGCATGAGCTGCCACATCGCGTTACCTCATTTTACACACATATACATACAGCCGTTAGGACAGGAGTGGTGCTAAACGCTCAATTTGCACTAGGGCTCCTCTGCGTGTTTAAATCAGGGAAATTTCATTCCAAAAATGGCACCATCCAAAGGGTTTTCGAATATGCGTGTGATGTAGAACAAACACTCGCACATACAATTCAAACCATTTTCTTCTCCATACTTGTGTGCTCTTGTCTTTGTATTTGACAGACACAAACAAAGCATATATGAATGGAGAATTGAAAGCCTGCTGGGTAAACCAACCAGATGCCATTTTTGATTGCAGCTTGAGTCGTGCGGTCTCAGTGGTACATAAGGTTTGTTTGGCAAGCTGTCCTCCAAAACACTCCAGATGTGGACATGCAAACACAACTTTTCAACTTCATTGTGGGAACGAATTCTTAGTTTCTCAGTAAATCGCATGGTGCTATGATTCCATCTTCCGTCGTACTACGAACGTGCTTGATTTGTGGATTTCAAACGTGACGTTTTTTTTTTCAAAGGTCTTTTGTGTTTTTATTTTTTATTGTGTGATTGTCTTTTGTACTGTCTCAATGCTGAAAAAAAAATCAATACTATCAAAGCTTGTTGAAAATTTAAATTGTATATTTTAAAGTGAAATGTAGATTTTGTTTGTGTGTATTCTTGAGCATCAAGACTGCCAAACCAAATATTTACTTGTAAACATTAGATAAATAGCCTCTAAGAGCTGTTGACTTTTTGTTTTTCCTCTGAAGACGGACAATCAATGATCACAGCGTCCTTAACTGTCACTGAGACGTCACTGTTTACATGAGCCTGTCCATCCATCATCTAAACGCGTCATTTGGTTGCGACGACTGTTTTCAAAGGCTGTGCCCTGAATTTAATCTTCAGGACATTTGATTTAAACAAGGAATTTGGCCATTTTGATGAAATAGTTTCTTGAACATCAGAGTAACTGCACTGTACGACAGCCTGAGCTATATTTATGCATAACCATTGGGAACTTTGTATACTTTACACATCTTTTTGGTTTATTGATGCCACTACATGTAAAAGAGCGAATGTGCGTGACTGTACTGTATGTCAAAAATCAACAGCAAACTTGAAATAGTCATCAAGCTGGTGTTGAGTTACGAACTTCAGACCAAAGAGAGTGGACCAGGTCGCTCAGGATAATGATAAATCTCTAAGGGCGTCTATATGAAATTTTTGAGCCATAAAGATCCGTGACGGAGAAACCTGAGCGCCTGCTAATGAGTAATTCCAAATGCAATGTTTTTTATACTGTTTTCGATTGGATGCATCCATCTGTCAGATCCGAGTGATCCGCACAATGTTCATAAACATCTGTATGAAACAACAAATGGCAATAAAACATTGGTTATATTTTTAAACCTGTGTCTTTCTGTTCGCTGTGTGCCAAGTTGAAGAGATTCAGCGAGTGTATCGAAGTAGAAATGGCTTATTGATCTCGGGGGAGTGGAAGGCACTTCGGTCCACTTTGTCCAGAACATACTGGAAGCCTTAAGTGAATAAACCCAGCTTTATTTCAGACAAAAAAGAATTACGAAAATATCCAATCTACTTACAAAACTCACAAAGCAAAGCAGGCTCATCCATTTCCTGGCACATTAGCACTCTTTGCACATCGGTTCAAATGACGGCAACAAATTCGAGATGACATGTTACCAAAAAGGAACTCCAAATCCGAGTCAGGATATAAAAATAAAGTTACACTAGTTTATAACCCTCTCTTAGCTCACGACAGATTTAGAGAGCTCGACAGATTGGCAAACAAACAACCAATGACATGAACACCTTTGAGAGATGAGAATATATGGCTTATATACATATAGCCTAGTCAAAGATGACAAAGGAGTCAAAAGGCAATAATACAAGGATTGCCACTGGAGTCTTAAAGGGTTTTTGTTCTAAATCCACAACATCCTCAGAAATATTAAAGGGACACTCCACCGTTATTTGAAATAGGGCTTATTCACATTCTCTCCTACATTTAGATATGTGTTCAAATGCATTTTTGTCTCAGTGCATGCATTGTTTTAGTTTGACAGGGTCGGCGCTAGCTTAGCTTAGCACAATGAATGGAATCCTTTGTTGCCAACTAGCATGTCCTGAGTAAAAGTGATTAAAAAAATTAACAAACCCACGTAATTACTTCTTGTGGCCTGCGTATTCACAACGAGTACAAATAGCGATGCCGATTAACACTAGATATTGACTTGGGACTATATTAGGGGGAAGCACAGCTGCTAAGGCTTTTTTTAATGCTTTATTCAATAACAAAACATACAATCATTAAATGTAAATCAATAATAGAATTAAATAAAATCAAATTAATACAACAATATATATAAAAAACGCACTGTTGCTAAGGCGAAGCACTGCGACTTGTGCTGCGTCCAGGGAAGTTCGTCCGTACGAGGTGGGAAGTCGTGTTTACGACGCGAGGTGCGTTCAAGTCAGTTTTGTCGGAGCAAAATGGCGGTGTACCTTCTTTTAATGAATTACACGACAATACAGCAAAGGTTTGTTAACTCTGCTAATAAAAAAAATGCAGAACAAAGAATGCGCATCAGGTGTGTTTTTCTTTTTATGTTTTTTATTAGCTTATGAAGCCAATGTAAACTCTATCATTAGGTATAATTTTTATATTATAATGATATCATATTTTGTGCAGAGAGCTTGCTTTATAAATGAAAAAGCCTTACAATGTCAATGAGTAAACATTGAAATTCAATTAAAATGTACCGTCAACAGACGTTGAATGAACGTTTCTCACTGACACGCCCCCAACTCGTACAGATCGGGGCTTAAAGAAAATCCCGAGCTCCCCACTGGTATTTACGACATTGTGGTGGCGTTCAAGTGCGTTTAACTCGTAATTACGATATATACGAGATGACTTGAACGCAGCATTGGACGTAGAGACGTCACGCAACACATGAAATCCCACGACTTCCGTAAACATACCGGCGTTCAACGCGTCAAAAAAACAGAAGAAGAACATACCGACGTGACCTGCACCGAGCGTCTTCGCTGTAGGACTATTTATTTTGAGAAGTTACAACAAACATGGTAATTACCTGCGTAGCAAAAGGTTGTGAGAACAAGCAAAGACCTACACGAATGTAATGTTTCACAGAATTACATCGAATGTGGAACTGAGAAATAAATGGCTAGCTGGGATCTAACGTTACATCAACGCCTCTCTACAAAATAAATCAGTTTTGTGTTTACGAAGAGAAGTCATTTTGCACCAGAGGACTACTTTGAAAAAATGGATGTGCCCAGAAAGACGGGAACGTATACGGCCATCGCATCTATTTTCAAAGCACAGACAGAACAAAGTGCACATGTAAGTTGTCTTTTATTACTCTCCTCTTTATGTTTATCTGTGTCTTTATTTTGTCGTACGATCGATGCTGAGAAGCTGTATCTAGACTACGAACATGTTGAATTCCACCTGTTTAGCATGAACAACCTGTTACATTTGGTCCATTCGGCGTGGTGGGGCGTTTTTTCCAGTTCACCTCATCACACCGGGGATAAAAACGAGTCCTGCAGGCTGGATCCTCAGGCTCGACATTAGGCTTGTCCGGGACAAGTGGATTTTTTGTAGGACATGTAGAAGAGAAAATTAGTTGTCCGACCGTCCGAACATGAATGTTACTTCACGTTATGTGCCACTTACAGATTTAATTTTACCGATTTGAAACGAACACATTTTTCGCGCTGCCTGTGAATGTCTGAATGTGTATGTATAATGCGCATGCGCACAGACCGCGCGCGCCATACTTTCGCGCTTGAACGAACATCAACAACACACACTGTCACACAATTAAGCCAAAATGCCATTTGTCGAGTATCTTCATAACATAAGAGCAGTCTTAAGTTATGATGGACATTTGTGACTCGTGAGAGAATGAGGCGCGGGTCCACAGCGGCTGCTCTTAAAGGGCCAGCTACCAATAAAGCGTTCTGTCAGTAAAGTTAATAAAAGAACAAAGGGAACTGAAGAAATTACTCACTGCTCTTGACTAAAGAACTTGTGTAGCTTTAATAAGGAGTAGTCTATATAATTTAGAATTTATGCAGTGCAGACTGTTTGATAACTTTATTCAATTTCTGTATATGTCCTTTTAGACAGTTAATTTTTATCCAGACATCAATGGCTTACCCAGACAGCAAACTGACATTGAATCAACGTGGAAACGACGTCTCTCATGACATTGAAACAACGTTGATTTTGCTCATTGAATTAACGTTGAACCAACGTCAGACGCGGCATTCTTCAAAGCTAAATGAAAATCGAAAATTGGTTTGCTTTCATAACGTTGAAACAACGCGTTGATTTCACGTTGATTTTCCGTTAGTTTTGAAAGAATGACGCGTCTGACGTTGGTTCAACGTTAATTCGATGAGCAAAACAATGTCAGATCAACGTTGTTTCGATGTCATATTTCCACGTTGATTCAATGTCAGTTTGCTATCTGGGTATTGATCACTATAGGTGTTATCAATCATTTAGTTGTTATTGCTAATTTCAGAATTATCACTAATCTGTGTGTGCGTTTGGTTTAGAACCAAACAAGTTGACTCATGAAACCATTTGTTTATTATATCGCAATTATCACAACTGCAATATTGACCTCAATAATCGCAATATGACATTTTCCCCAAATCGTGCAGCCCTAGATAAAATTATAAATCTTTACCCGCCACAGCACAGACACTCTATTTCAGTCAGCATAGGTTGGTAATGGCATATTCCCCACATTCACACCACCAGTTCGTGTCGGCTCTCATCCTCACGTCCTCAGGCTGTTGAGCGATCGCAACATCCTCCTCCTGTCGGTCTATTTCTAAAGCACGCAGCTCCTCTTCTGTAAACTCTGGTTCAAATAGGTAACGTTATGGCTCTGGCTCTTGACTGTCTGAGAAGTCTCCCTCTTCGTCTCTCACAAAATCAGCCATGTTCATCGCCACTCATGTACTGTAAGGAAAATATTCAGGCAGCTACTATTCAAGCCGGTGTGTTTACGGAAGTCGTGGGATTTCATGTGTTGCGTGATATATCTCAGCGCCCAAGTCGCAGTGCTTCGCCTGTGCTTTCCCCTAATATAGTCCCAAGTCAATATTTACCTAGTGTTAATCGGCATCGCTATTTGAACTCGTTGTGAATACGCAGGCCACAAGAAGTAATTACGTGGGTTTGTTTATTTTTTTTAATCACTTTTACTCAGGACATGCTAGCTGGCAACAAAGGATTCCATTCATTGTGCTAAGCTAAGCTAGCGCTGACCCTGTCAAACTAAAACAATGCATGCACTGAGACAAAAATGCATTTGCACACATATCTAAATGTAGGAAAGAATGTGAATAAGCCCTATTTCAAAAAACGGTGGAGTGTCCCTTTAAGCACAAAGTTTAGAAAGGATCTTTCAAAGGCAGCAGGTATGTTGGACATCCTAGGGCTTTTCAACAAGGCTGAAGATGTTTCAGCACAACATTTTCATGCTAAAATAGACAATCATCCTAAATGGACCATAATCTGGGTAGATGGCATATTTTTTTAAACAAAAATGAGGCTGTGAAGGTGGAAATGGTTTATAAAATAGGCGTATAACAAAATGTAAATTGTTTGCAAAACCACTTCTTGCGTAATTTTTTCAGTGCAGCGATTAACAATTTAGCGACAGATTATGGTGTAATTTGGTCAATGAACCATGGATTCATGAAAAAAAAAATAACTTAAGGCTTAATAGGTCTCAAGTTCCTAAATCATGTAATCGTTTCATTTAACACAAATTATTATTTTATTTTTTTACAAAAATTTGAGGTTTTTTTTTTTTTTTTGTCCACTGGAATTTTTTTGTAAATACAAAGTTGTGTTTATACATATAAACCTACAGACAGAAATACACTTTTACACGCCAATAGTTATCAACCAGTTGCCTTGAAGAAAGGTTTACCAATTAGTCAGAAAAAATAAATATTTTTTATTGAAATAATGTTGTCAAAATTTAGATCCAAAAAGCAGATCTTAAAAGTCAAGATATGCTTGTGAATTCTACCAAAATATTCGAGTATATATTTAAAATATTCAAGACTATATTAAGAGTTTTATAACATGCAAAACAAAAAAAATGTGATTTAAATGTCAATGATTCAATATCCATGTAATAATTGTTGGTAAAACATCTCGTTCATCAAAAGAGGGGATGAGAGAACGTAGAAATGTAATGGAAAGGATCGAAAGAATACTGTTTTTGTGAGTGTAACCATAAAATATCATATTTTTTTCTTTCTTGATATTGAAAAGATAAAACAAAGTACAAGAGATGGAAACATTGATTATATGATGAAAAACAATAGGCTCAAAAAAGCTATAAATGAGGATTTTTGTGTCTTCCATTTTATGAATGGAAGATGTGAGCTTGTTATTTGATGACTACATTTTTTATGCTGTAGAAATGGGTAAAACATGCCAATTTGACGAGGATGTGTCCTGATTGGGTGACTGTTTCATTTTCAATAATTAACCTTTTTACCCACTAATGTAACGGCTTCAGTGGAGATTGTAAACGTTTTTTAACTTTCTTCGTGTAACTCAAAATGTAGAGGTTTCAAAATCTTCATGCATTGTGTCTGTTGTGTACCCTGAGAAAGGCTATCAAGCCGAAACGCGTTTCTCTATTAAAACTATTAAAGTGTGTCTGAATTCCCTTTTTGTACTTGTAAATTAGGGATGCACCGATATGAAAATTTTGGCCGATACCGATAATTCTTTATATTTGAAAGCCGATAACTGATATATCGGCCGATAAACTTAAATCCAAATTTTTATCTAATTTTGAGAGCCTGATTACAAAAACAAAAGTCTCACAATTAAATCCACGTCCCAAGCGCACAATTATAATGATGTTCTCATTATAGTGCTGTATAGCCGATTTGACAGATTTGCGTTGCACATTTGCGAAACAGATTTTCATTTTTTGAAGAGATTTCAATCATATTTCAAGAAATTCAACCAGGCCGATAACGATAACATTAAAAATGAACATATATCGGCCGATACCGATATGCTGGCCGATATATCGTGCATCCCTATTGTAAATACATTGTCAATGTTTCATTGGCTGATCATGGCGCGAAAAACGTAAAATTTGTTTGACGTACATCTATCGTTATTTTCAGTTGCGTTAAATTAATTATGCCACCTACAAAGGTCCATCGAGAAGATTCATCATCGTTTACAATTAAGATATCTACATCAACAATGAAATATGTACAGTCGTCGACTTTGTGAAGGGTAGTAGCAGTTCACAGTGAGTGTCGTGTTCATAGATATGTATATAAAGGCTAGATGTGTTACGGCGGAGTTTCCATCGTCATCACCGGCGGCCATCTTGTCACAGACAAGCTGATGTAAGATGAGTGGTCAGCACGAACACAAATACTCTTATCTCGTTGAAATCTTGACGGATTTACAAACGGTTCGGTTTCTTACAAACGTTATTAACGTGGCTATAATTATCTGGATGATTATTTATTTATACACTCAGTGCAGTGTCATAACTACATCTCTGACGTTTATAACAAAACAAACCGTTTGAAAATCGGTTATGGTCATTTAAAAAGTACATGTACCATTAACACAATGTTATGAGTGAGCGAGCTGACTGTGACAAGATGGCCGCCAGGTGCAGACGTCGACCTCCATTGGCCAGCAGCGTGGATGACATATCTAGCCTTTATAGTGTTGGGCACCTTGAACCACTGGCTTCATGCTCCGCGTGCGTTTGTTGAAGACCGTCCTGAGGAAGAAGCAGCTACAGCAGAAGAAATGGACGACCCTGTTAATTAAGATGTGTTGGGAAAGTAGCGTACATTGGTATGCGCAACTTTCAAGGTGCTTTGCCTTTGGCGTAGTCGGCGCCATTGGGCTAAGGCTCTCTCGGTCATGTGACTACACCAAGGCATAGTCAAACTGGCCCCGCTCGAAGCCGTCCTTATGATCGGTCCAAGAGGAAGCGGGCATTCGGCTGTAGGGGTCCAGCAATATCCGGAAGCAACGCACCAAAAGGAAAACCAAAAACAGCATCAGGAGACCAACGAACGCGAAAGCCGTCCTTTGCTCGGTGTCTCCGCCAAAAGGTGGGCTGCTGGGAACCCCAGCGAACGAAGGCCCCGGCAAAAGCAGCTCATAGTCCAGAGTGGACACATCGCTCATCCTCCAGGGAGGGCGACGGCAGAACTTGCACGCTGTCTGGAGGGTGGGTTGGACTGAGAGGTTGGCCAGATTGGTACAGTGACCTCGATGTGGACAACCAAGGCCAAAGTCAACCCTCGCGTGACGGACACGCAAACTGACACAAGTGGAGCAATCCGGGACTTTGCTGCTCAAAACGACACGCCTGTTTATTTCAGACCTGTCACATCTGATCTGACCCTCAAGTGGCACGCCGCAAGTCGATGGGACATGACACAACAGGCTGCCACGGTGGATAAAAACAGCAGCGCGGGCAGGGACTCGAGTCACACACTCGCTCCTCGCTGCAGGGTTGGGGCTAATTGGATCCAGATGGGACGCGGTATGCAGGTGTCGTGCTCCACGTTGGGCGCCACGTTACACTAAAGCAAAATTTGCACCGACGGCAAGTTTCTCATTTCTGGCTCGATCAACATGCGAACCTCTGCGAGCGTTATGCAGAGCAAGTTTGATTAGTGAGCTGCTGTCTGTCCATTAGGTTGGTAAATCAGATGATCTGCTCCTTCCTGCGTTCTCTCACACAGAAACGTCTTGCGAGGTTGGTACTATCGATCGGGTTGGGATTAGATGTAGGCAGACGGCACAGAGTCTTCGCTGCAGTGTTTTTGACCTCTGGTTTGTTGTACTTCACCCTGTAAACACACAACATACACATATTCAACATTTAGTTCAGCCTAGTGACATGACCATTAACTGATCCAAGCCAAAACCTAAACATGAAGCAATATCAAGTGTTTTTACTTTAAACGACGTTTCTACTGCATCTTAACAAAATATATACAATAAGTTATTTTTGCATGTTTATTTTTTGGAAATACGGGAAAAAAAAACCTAGTTTGAAATAATCAAGGCATGTTTTATTTACTATAATAAATAGTTATTTATATAATAATTATATAATAATACAACTTGTAAGTGGACACTTTAAATGAATAAAAATTAATATGTGGACACTTCAAATGAATTAAATTAATACGAATATTAATATACATGAGTCATGACAAACACGCACATACATTTTCTTTAAAATATGGTACGAAATATTATGCAATTATTAATTTTGAATCATCTATGTAAATATAAAACAGTCACAATTTAACCATATAAAATATTATAGATACTATTCGAGTTTTTAGAGTTAGTTTTAGATATTTTCAGGAAGTTTTAAGTTTCAGTAGTATTTTTGTAATTTTTATAAAACAAGTTTCAAATTTTTGTTTTATAAAATATGTCTATATAATTTTTATTTCCATTTCATTTATTTTAGTAAATCAAGTTAAACTAAATGAAAAATATGAGTCATGACAAACACGCACAATATGGTACGAAATATTATGCAAACATTGCAGCAATTATTAATTTTGAATCATCTGTAAATATAAAACAGTAACAATTTAACCATATAAAAGTGAAATCGGTGTTATTATAGATACTATTATAGTTTTTAGAGTTAGTTTTAGATATTTTCAGGAAGTTTTAAGTTTCAGTAGTTTTTTTGTAATTTTGATAAAACAAGTTTCAAGTTTTTGTTTTATAAAATATGTCTATATGATTTTTATTTCCGTTTCATTTATTTTAGTAAATCAAGTTAAACTAAATGAAAAATATTGCCTAGGCAACCAGCTGAAATAAAATACGTTTTTATATATTTTACATTTATTTCAAGCAACAACAACAAACAAAAAAATCCTTTTAGTGAAATAAGTCAAAGATTTGCCTTCAATATCTCGGATATATGCGATATACCATAAAAAATAATATTTCCAGAAAAGACTAAAGGGGCAGAGGACATGAAAGTCATATATAGCAGGTTTTTCAGTAAAGTGTTAATCAAGTTAATGATGTGGAGGCTTTAGAAAGCCAATCATCAAATAGGATCTAGAGTGAATGAGTGTTTCGACGAAAACTCCCATAATTACCCTGACATTCTGCATAATGGTGAAACTGATTACACAACGGTGATACCAGCAAGACTGGATGTTGTAAATGTCGTGTTTATCCATCAGCGAGGCGTTTTAACGAATCATTAGCTGACTTTTGGACGAAATCAAAGCACCATTCATGAATACTGCGAGTTAGACCGTCGCTAGTCTGGATCACGGGATGCGAAATGTCAGCAGACAATTATTATTAGTCGTGAACAGCGACGGCGTGATTAAAGCGATCGGACAAAGACGAGGGGAAAGATGGATGGTGGGCACAGAAGTGGCTGCGCTGAATGGACGTGTCTCCGTGTCATGATGGATGAGAAGAAGATGTGAAGATGTGTGTGTGGCGACGAGTCTCTCGGCCACTTCAAGCCTCTTCATCAACAGGACTTAATCAATCAGGCCTTCACCCGAACGCAGCGTCCCACTGAACAGAGACAAATGCTCAGAGAACACGCAACTATGAAAGAATAAATCAAACAAAATACTACCGACCACGCGAAAAATGTGCTATGAATTATATTGTTATGCTTTTATGTATTTTTATTCATATAATGATTATTATTATAATGAAATGAATAAATAAAATGCAAAAAATATTGCTATTATACACATTTCATTTATTCATGCATTTAATATATATATATAGTTCAGATGCAAAAGCCTCTAAATGCCATTTGAAATTTTCTTCCAAAATGACCATTTTTTATCAAGCTTGTATATTTAAGTTCAGTAATTTCACTTAAATGACAATTAATAGGTAATCGTCATTGCCATTTAAGTGAAATTACTGAACTTAAATATACAAGCTTGATAAAAATCATCATTTTATAAGAAAATTTCAAATGACACTTAGAGGCTTTTGTATCTGAACTCTTCATATATAGTGAGGTACATATTTTAAAATGAAGATATTTCATATTCATCACCATCATACTATATACATAATTATAGTAGTATTGAATGAATCATTAAAATATATTTTGAAATGAAGATATAAATTGTATTTTTATTAATTCATAATATAATGCGCTGTAAATCGTTTCATTATTAGCATTTAATTCATTTATTTTATATATATATATATATATATATATATATATATATATATATGAAGAGTTCAGATGCAAAAGCCTCTAAGTGCCATTTGAAATTTTTATCAAGCTTGTATATTTAAGTTCAGTGATTTCACTTAAATGGCAATGATAATTACCTATTAATTGTTATTTAACTGAAATTAATGAACTTTAATATACAAGTTTGATAAAAATCATCATTAAAGAAGACAATTTTAAATGGCATTTAGAGGCTTTTGCATCTGAACTCTTCATATATATATATATATATATATATATATATATATATATATATAGTGAAGTACATATTTTAAAATGAAGATATTTCATATTCATCACCATCATACTATATACATAATTAGTAGTAGTATTGAATGAATCATTAAAATATATTTTGAAATAAAGATATAAATTGTATTTTTATTAATTCATAATATAACACGCTGTAAATCGTTTCATTATTAGCATTTAATTCATTATATATATATATATATATATATATATATAAAAGCATGTTATAACTTATATTTCATCATTAGTAATTATTTTATGTCATAAATAAATACGTAACAACATGCTTTCATTTATTAATAGCATTTTTCATTATTAAATTAAAAAAATGCTTTAAATTATAATGTGCATAAATGTTAAATATTTACCAAAATATGTTGATTTTAATAATACTACTACTAATAAATGCGATCATCTTATCTGGGGTGATTCGCATAAAGAAGCCTGAGAGTTTGACGACGAATGTTAACCTCGAATTCTGAACCTCGAGAAGAAAAACGTGAGAAAATCTGTCCATGTGACCTTGAGACACAGTTGAGATGTTAAAGCGTAATGTTACACGTGTGTTTTGAGCAGATGGTGCCCCAGCAGGTCTCCGAAATCACAGGTCACACAATCAGAGGACACTAAACCCTCTCAATGACTTCAGTCTCACTCCCAACTCAAAAACACGGTTCGGTTCGACTGAACTCACTCAGAGACGAGCGCTTGACGAATCGCCTGTCAGGACGTCCCAGCGTGTGTCTATGCAAATCACAGAGAAGGACCTTTAACAACATTTATCATTATTTCCCAATAACAAGGCCGGTTGCCAGATCCTCAGACTCGGCATCATGTTTTCCATTACGGTAGCAACTCAAGCCTGTGTGTGTTTGAGCAAGACTCTTGCTCATCATTTTACATATGACTCTCGGTGAATCGGCGACGGCCTCAGAGCCTCTGGGACGCTCATTTACTGACGAAAGAGTCCGTGTCGAGGGCGAAACAAGCTGCATTTCATTAACCAGCTCCTCGGGGATGTTTTTGCTTTCATTTCGGCCTCTGAGGAAAACGACTGAAGGCGATCCCATTATTCACTGACCCACGCTGGAGCAATGACGCGGCGAACGCACAAATTTGTCATTATTTGTGCCGAAAAGCCTCTTGAAAACTAATTAGAGGCCAAAATCGGATGAAAAATGAAGGTGGTTGGCGTCAAACCGAACCGAACCGAGGGCTAAGGGCTGTGCAAAGATTAATTGCGATTAATCGCATCCAAAATAAAAGTTTGTGTTTACATAATATATGTGTGTGTAGTCTGTGTGTAATTATTTGGTATATATAAATACACACATATGCATGTATATATTTAAGAAAAATGTGTTATATATCAAATATTTAAATTTATGTATAATATTAATTTTGTATAAATACATATATATATAAAGTATATACATGCAAATGTTTACATGCATGTGTGTGTATTTATATATACAAACTAATTATACACACTACACACACATATATTATGTAAACACAAACTTTTATTTTGGATGCGATTAATCGTTTCCCAGCCCTAATATAAAATATAAATATATATAAATGTATTAATAAATATACATGCATGTGTGTATTTATATATAAAAATAATTATACACAGCACTAACCCTAACCCTAAAACTGAGCATGAAATATATAATTAAAAAGTAACGAAATTCGCGTAAATGAAGTAAAATAAATGGCAAAAAAATAAAAATAAAACGGAGCATAAAAACATAACAAAATTGTCAAGTGAGAAATATAATAAAGTAAAATAAAATATAAAGCAGAGCATAAAATAATAAAATGTATTAAAAATAAAAATATTATTAAATAAATCAATAAAATATGCAAGTGGTCACCGTTTTCAACTAAAAACTAGGGCTGTACTCAACCAATGAAAATCTTGGTCGACTGTCCCGAGATTTCGACTAAAAATCGACTCTGTAGTAATTCGACGATTTTCACATGACCGGCGACTGGTCAGCCTGACATACGACTGAACTATCCCTTTAACATCCTTAGAAAACCGGACTTTTTCAATCTTTAGCACACACCCTTGCTGAATGAGGATTTGCTGAAATTCTCCAGCCAAGTGTGTGTTATCAAGATGAAACGGGTCTGTAAAGGAAAGCCATGTGCAGGTCTGAGGGAAAAGCCTCGAAACAGAGCTGACGCCATCCATCACAGCCCTTACTGGAGACATTCTTTGATTTTTCCTTTTATATTTGGGTTTGTCCGTGTTCATTCATCAATAACGGATCGCTATCGCAGCATCGGCAGGATTGTGGGAAACGTCCAGGTCACCTTGAGCTCGGG